CGGCTGCAAGCGCCAGCTTTCATTCTCGTTCACTAGTCCACTCTAATGATATGTACGTTTTTTTTATAAAAGGTCCGACCAATGACTCCTTCCCAGTCCCCACCTTACCGGATGTTAAGAGTAGTGGAGTCAAGACGCGAAGATAGCTAGTATAACAGTTTTCCTACAACACTAGCCATCCTCAGCTTGACGGCCTGTACATTGCTTTATCACGCCTCTTTTAATGAATCCCAGGTTATAGGAGGGAGGGAACACGTGAGCGGGCAAGGCATTCCATTTCCGAATAGTGTGACAAAGAAATTAACCAAATTTCTTTGTTCGCGTTGGAATAGTGGCCACAGTATATCGGTGACAACGTATGCCAGCGCGCGTGGTCCTTTGAAGGATAGGGGAACCTAAAATAAGGGAAACTAACTCCTCAGAACACTCGCTGTGGTATAGTCGATAGAACGCGCTTAATGATGCAACATCACAACGTAATTGAAGAGGCTCGAGGTATTTAGTCACCTCAGCATCATCAATGATGCGGATCGCCCGTCATTGTAACCTATCCATAACATCTTGCAATGTGTACGCTCATGGAATCTGACATACTGCGAAAAGAAGCACCTACAAAGCTGCCATGATAGTAATAAATAGATGATAGATGATGATGCTTTTCTGGTTTTATTTACGTATTTTTGCTATTTTTACCTTAAACTAAAAAATGTACCCTCTGCTACCATAACTGTTATTTGGTCAATGTTTTGCCAATTTAATAGCAAGTGTTATACCTTTTTGAATAGCTAAAGAGACGTAGAAGTTTTTAAAATTATTTGCAGAATAAGTTCCATACATTTTTTTTTTAGAAAAGCGCTTCAAAGTTAAGGACACTTGGTGAAAATTATTTAGTTATAACCGTTGTCGAGCAGTTTTTTTAAGTTAGAAGGAGGTTCAGTTTTTATTCATTACTTTTATTGCTTGACATGTCTTTTAACTAGATACATTAAAAAATCGGACCTTTGGAGCTCTAGTTTCAAAAAAATCGACAATAACCCAAAAAATATAGGATTTTTTAAAAAAATCTTTAATATCCAATATCTCCATAACGGTTAAGTTTCGGACACCATATTATAGGACCAAATCCATCAGAAATGACCTGAATAATAACGTCCTTCAATATTCAGTACGACTTTCCCTGTAACACTGTATATATATATATATATATGACGATACATTTCTGAAATTCGCTTCAGACTCTGCGCCAGTACGAAATGACAATACCGGCTTTCTAATAATATTACTTTTCTCTATGATACCGTCTCTCAATCCGAGTTTAGTCACTGCAGACCCTGGCGTAGTGTCTACTATTGAGGGCCAGATTTAAGGCAGAGCCAGTGGCCCTGGGCCACCGATCAGGGGTGAGCGTCAGAATGGCCGGTCACTACCCATATTTTACATCGAAATAATTAAAGAAAGTTGCTACCTAGTTGCTTCTAATTGCTACTAATCGTTAAATAGTTGCTACCCCCGATTAAAACAAAATAAACTACTTTTTAGGGTGACCAGCCATTCTGACGTCAGAATGGCTGGTCACCTATCCAGTGAGAACAAACTGCGTAACTAAATAGAGATGTTTTTAAAGCAATAGTTGCTACTAGGTTGCTACCTTAATATATATCATTTAGGACCTCCTAGCTTTTAAGTATAAAGAGTTATAATCAATTGATCGTTCAGACATTATTAAAACTGAACGCCTGTAGAATTATACGAGCAAATTCGAAATCAAGTGCATAATGGGTATTGCTTGAACAGGCGCCACTACCTGCTTATGCAATACCCAAACTTATTTAAAGTGATTAATGCAATAAATAAAACAAATATTGACTAACAATAATAATTTAATAAAAAGAAGTTGTGTTTCTTCTCTTTAAATATATTATACAGCACATTACTTTCTTATTACTTTTTGTAATTCTATTATTCAGATCCTTGTAACACTGCCATATATTCCCACGTTTGCAATGTGCCTTGTAATGGCCCATTTGCGGGTCGGTAACTTCTCGCTACTACGACAGCCCGGCGTGCCGTACAATTGGTATTCATCATCATCATCATCATCACCAGCCTATTAATGTCCCCACTGCTGGGGCACAGCCTTCCCTATGGATGGCATAGGGAGATTGGGCCATGACCCGCCACACGGGCCCAGTGCGGATTGGCGGGTGCTAACGACTGCAGATGCAGCCGGGACCAAAAGCTTAACGTGCCTTTCGAAGCACGGAGGAACTCGAGATAGAAGATTTTCGGTCACCCATCCAATGATCGACCATTGCGAATGTTGCTTAACTTCAACAATCGCAGCCAAATGCGCTAGCGCTATCGAGCTCCTCAACAATTGGTATTAATTTACTATAATAAAACAATACAAACATTGAATGTGATAATTGTACCAGAAATAACAGTAGACTGTTCTGCATAATAAAGTAAAAATTTACCTACCCTCGTCAGAAATATTTTTTACAAACAAACAAAAATAACTCAATACAGAAATTAACATTATTTTGTCTTGTTTCGCACGGTAAAATAATATTATTCATTATATTATTACAACTAAAAACATACATTACATTATGTAATGTTTTAGGTGTATAGTAGACAACTTTTAAAATAAATTCTATTACGCAGCGCCTGCTTGTGCAATACCCATTATGCACTTGATTTCGAATTTGCTCGTATAATTCTACAGGCGTTCAGTTTTAATAATGTCTGATCGCTCAATTGATTCGAACTCTTTATCCTTAAAAGCTAGGAGGTCCTAAACGATATATATTAAGGTAGCAACCTAGTAGCAACTTTTGTTTAAAAAAAATCTCTATTTAGTTACGCAGTTTGTTCTCACTGGATAGGTGACCAGCCATTCTGACGTCAGAATGGCTGGTCACCCTAAAAAGTAGTTTATTTTGTTTTAATCGGGGGTAGCAACTATTTAACGATTAGTAGCAACTAGAAGCAACTAGGTAGCAACTTTCTATAATTATTTCGATGTAAAATATGGGTAGTGACCGGCCATTCTGACGCTCACGATCAGGGATCAGGAGGGGGGGTAGTGCAAATCCTGTAAGTGGTCCAGCCCTGATTAGCCACCAGCCACTGCCACTACTTGGGAGTTAATATGATTAATTAAAGTTATAATTTGGAGTCAGCCTGTTGTGAACTGCCTTAACTTTTTGTTGCCCTGCTAGTATAGTACATTGGCAAAAAGACAGATATTATGTAGGTATTTTCATGTAAGGTTGACAGATTCTTTTAAAGTAGGGGAAAAGGATGCGAGACGTTCTGGTTTATTTCACATGTAACATAATTCCTCCAGAATGAGCCTAGTCTCAAATTACTCTTCACATCAGCTAAGCTGCAGTCAGGTGATCCTTTATAAGAAAATGACAAAAAATATTCAAAGGTAAGAGAAAGACACATTGAACTTCAATATATTCATTATATTTCACAAAACAATAACTATTAACGTCAGTATTTTTACATCTAATTGAACCCTACAATATTTACAACTGCATACAAATGATTTTTTCAACGATGTCAACAACTATAATTATAAGTTCGATACGACAACTTATATGTATTGAATTAAAACTACCTTTTTAAACTAATTGTGTTCTATGCTAATAAATCTACTAATATTTAAATACATATTATTTCAGACATTATGATGTGCGTTTTCTATTACTATCATGAAAAAAATGTACGTTTAAAAAAATTAAATATTATTCAATTAGGTAAGTAGTTATTTAGTCTTAAGAAAAAAATCACGTAATAAATAAAAAAATCCTATGCAGGCATTTCTTATGGATATTCATATTTGCTATTTGTGAATGTAACGATAGTCCTTTTCACCCCCTTGAAAGCATGATAAGGATAAACTGTTGTCTGTTGTCAAATGTACAAATAACAAACACGAATGGCCAAGTGAAGTGCCAGCATTACAAGAGTAAGTTTTGTCTTCTGTTTACAATATTGATGTAATGAAGTTTCCCATTTTCAATAATAAGTTACACAATTCTTGAAGCAATAAAATAAACTCGTTTTAATTTGGAATTAATAGCAAAATATACATTTGATGCATCACACTTATGACTACGATAATTGAGATAGAATTCACACTTAGATACAAAGTAAAATATTAGAAAAACCAGCACAAAAATGTTTAGGCCCGCTTGCAGCAAATTAACACAATCTCAATTCAACAAAAACTAGATTTAACCCATAGAAAAATGTCTAATTAACATTAAAGTTTTGTAATTTTTCTGTGTTAAATCTAGTTTTAATTGTATATTTTTTTATTCTGAGTTAGCTAATAATCAGTTGAAAATAACTTTTTGTAAATAAATTAAAACAAATCGGGCGTTTAATGTATATTCATCTATAGGGATTAGAAATTGGTAAATGTTAATCTGGCCAATTTCATTATGTGGGCACTTATTCTTTTATAGCCTACACATAAATTACCTAAAGCAGGTTTCGAAGATATAGCATATAAGGATTACCCTTTTATCCACCGATCTAGTAGTGTTTAGTCAAAGTACTATCGATGCAATATCGATGTACAATTATTAATAACCAAAATCGTCGTGATAATACGAACGAAATAGGTACGTCTGTACAAATTGTCGATGACATGAAATTTAACAACAAAAAATACAGCTAAAATTTATTTTTATTAACTAAAATTGTGCACGTCAATATACTATCAATAATTAATGAACTAAAGCCTTCTAGTAACTTCATATCATAACTGATAATTAATCATTAAAGTTAGCATTGAAATAGTAAAAAAAAAACATCAAAGCTAGTTTTAAATAACAACCTATCACAGTCTTTGCACCATCAATCTATTTTTTGTGATGACTACAGACCTGTTATAATTCTTAATTTCTTTTAAAAGCAGCTCTCCGAATTTTGTTTTAGATATTTAAACTAAGTGCAAAAAACAAGCCACTCACAAATTTCGGATGTTTAAACTCAAAACGGTAATTTATAGAAAAAAAAACTTTTTTACCGCGTGCGTTAGTCTTCGATTAGAAATGACTTTAATATCATTAAATTTAAAGAAACATAGTCGATGTGGATTCGAAAATTAATATATTTGGACATAACTCGTGTGAAGTTAGAAACGTACGGGCGCCCAGCATCCGGAATGTTCGTCGCGGCGATAGTAGTGAGGTCGGTTATCTGGGAACACCGTCACCGCCGGGAACGGATGTTGCTGGATGAACTTCAGCGTCACTCGTATCTGTGGAAGATATTTAAACATAAATCGTAATCAAAATCATTTATTCAGTTTAGGGTGTTACAAGCACATATGCATGTCTAGAAGCTACGCCATCGGTTCGCGAATCTACGGACGGGAGACCTTGTACTGAGAAGAACCGGCAAGAAACTCGGCAAGGGCTGTATTTTTCTCCCTGTTTTATTATTTTCAAAAAATGAATTCAGTGATGATTCATAAAATCACCTTTCATTACATAATGTGCAATTATACATTAATTGTTCACCTGCATTTTGATTGATGTAAATTACATTAATAATGAGTTTATACTAAAACCTTCGATGGTATATTTGTTTCAAATGTCTTTAAGCTCGATGGCGCAGGTGGAAAGCGCATTCGGTCTGAGAACGTAATGCTAACTTTCAACATGGCAGTCATTTAAGAAATGACCAAAAATTTATTATCATCATCTTCTCCGTGCTTCAAAAGCACGTTAAGCCATTGTTCCTGGCTGCATCTGCGGTCCTTAACACCCACTAATCCGCATTGGGTTGGCGTGGTGGGTCTCCCTATTCTCCCTATATCTCCCTGTTCCGGTCACAGGGAAGACAGGAACAGCGAAGGTTGTGCACAAAGTGTATAGGGTCGCCGGACTTGTCAAGCGACAGATCGACGCCGCGTAAAAGGTCGTATATTAAAGTTGTCGGATTGCTCGAGCCACAAATCGACGCCGCGTAAAGGGCCATATATAGGTAATATGTGCATCCATTCATCGCTGCAACAATAACCGTCCACTCACTATGTGCACGAAGTAGGGCAGCTCCACAACGGGCGTGGTGCTCAGGTACTGCAGTATTAAGTCTTCGGACTGGTCGAGCGACAGATCGACGCCGCTTAAAGGATCCTATATGAGGTCTTGGGACTAGTCGAGCGACAGATCGACGCCGCGTAAAGGGTCGCATATAAGTAATGTGTGCCACATTCATCGCTGCAACAATAACCGTCCACTCACGTTATGCACGAAGTGGGACGGCTCTCCGGCGGGCGTGGTGCTCAGGTACTGCAGTATTAAGTCGTCCTTCTGGTCGAGCGACATATCGACGCCGCGTAAAGGGTCCTATATGAGGTCTTCGGATTGGATCGACGCCGCGTAAAGGGTCATATATTATAGGTAATGTGAGCTGCCAGTCATCGTTGCAACAAGAAACGTCCACTCACATTGTGCACGAAGTGGGGCGGTTCTACGGCGGGCGTGGTGCTTAAGTGCTGCAGTATGAAGTCGTCGGATTGCTCAAGCCACAGATCGACGCCACGTAAAGGGTCGTAGTTGAATGGCCCGATGCGAAGCATGCCGACGGCGTTATCGTATATATCCAGCACCTGGAGAAGACACATTATCGTTTTGATAATACGAAATAGGTAGTTGGCTGTATGGAATTTGTATCTTTTTATTTTAAATTTAGTTTGATTGTAATATGCATAAACAAAGTATCCTCTGTCTATATTTAATGAAGAAATATTGTCGGTGAGGATAGTTACAATAATCTATATTATTATGTATATGATATTCCCAATGCTGTATGTTTACTACCGGTAAATCGCGCGTAGGGTACAGCGGCATTAATCTGCTTGGCTGTATGGAATCAGAGTCCTTGGTCCCGCAACGGCATGAATCTACTTGGCTGTATGGAATTCGTATCTTTGGCCCTGCATCAGCAATACTCTACTTGGCTGTACGGAACTAGTATCCTTGGATCCGCAACGGCATTAATCAACTCGGCCATATGAAATAAGTACTATTGACCCCGCAATGGCATTAATCTACTTGGCTGTATAGAATTACTATCTTTGGTCCCGCAACGGCATTAATCTTGACTGTATGGAAATTGTATCTTAAATAAATCCTTGAAATGTGGCTGCTTAAACATAGGATGCTTCGCCATCCCCAAAATGGGAGAACATTAAAAAAGTCGCCCGTCCCCGGCGCCGGCCCCGGTCACTGGAACTGTACCTGTGCCAACTCGATACATTTCGTGCCAAACACTCCAAGAAACATTAGAATGCGTCACAGCAACATTCTGATGTAAAAAAAAAAGATTTATATTTAAACTAAAGACTAGGCTGTATAAGCATTGTTGCCTTTGCCTTCCTTAAAAAGGGCGAATCTTAAAATAAATGTACCTGCGCCGTATGCGGACCGCCCGTGATGACGCGCGCGCCCCGCAGCGGGGTCTCCGGCCCCTTGTCGGGGAACGTGGCAGGGAACAGGGAGCCCGAGCGCACGTCCACGCCGGCCCCGGTCACGAGGGGGGCGGGAGATCCCCCTCCTAACGCGGTGTTCAGCTCGCAGCAGCATGCGAGCAGGAGGTCGATCTCGACGCTGAGACGGTGGAATGCCACTGCAGACAACAAATAAATAAATCAAAAAACGAGGAAGCCTTACAGTAGTCGCGTATGATGTGTAATATTTAAAACATGACCTTATATGTATTAGTAAAAAAAGCAATAAAATCTACTACAAAAAGAATAAGCCATTTGAACATTATCTTCTAAAATCAAATCAAATAGCGCGCGCTTCCCAAACTTCCTGTTACACACTTCCATCCCACTTCACGTAATCACTCCCACAAATTGCACGAAAGTGAGAGGAAAGATGTTACACATCAATAAATATTTCCAACACTTACACCAATTAGCCTAGCCCCAAAGTAAGCAAGTAGTGTAAGGCTTACGTACGTCGGGTTTCAAGGTGTCGCTGACTCGAAAGGTCCAGGGTTCGAATCTCGATGGGGGCAGATGTTTGTGTGCTGATTACGAGCATTTGTGCTCCAGTCATGGATGTTTAATATGTATTTTCTATATAAATGTACTTATATATGTACAGCATTTGTATTCTATCCGATACCCTAGTATCCCATATAACACATTCCTTACAGTGCTTACTTTAGGGCTAGGCTAATTGGTGAGAGTGTTGAAAATATTTATTTATTTTATTTAAGGTTGCAGTCTGGGATACCCGCTATTGGATACCAATTTTGATTGTGAAAGATTTAAATTATTGTGATTAAGTAGGCAAAATATATAAAAAAACGGCCAATTGCGAGTCGGACTCGCGTACGAAGGGTTCCGTACCATTTACAACATTAGATACTATATTATAATATCGAGCAAAATAATCACGTCTGTTGTATGGGCCTTAAGTATTTATTTTATTCTCTATTTAGTATTTTTGCTAAAGCGGCAACAGAAATACATCATCTGCGGATTTTTTTAAGCTATCACGGTTTAAAACATTGCAGCCTGGTGACAAACAGATAGACAGTGAAGTCTTAGTAAAAGGTGGCTTCTACTACGGAACCAGAAAAAGATAAAAAGTACCTACCTATCTACCTACGTAAAGGTACCAAAAATGTTATAAGAACTTGCTTAAAAAAACAAGTTCATTGAAATTTGCTAATACAATATGATCAACAAGTTTCTTAACTTTTCTGGGGGCAATTAATATAATTACCCCCAATTCTTAAGGAGAATTAAACTACTGTCATTGGCCAAAATTTGCGCATCGTGACGTGTAGGTAGAGTGAAGACGTGTTTTTGAAACTTATTCTGCGTATAACATAGGCCCGTAGTGTTCACTCTCGACGTCAGTGTATTTAATTATAGGTGACGCGACTATCGAATTCCTAGACGTCCACATTTCACAGATAGCAGAACAATCGAATCACTAATGATCGTGCGATAAACTTCTCATGTTAGTACTGAAACGATGCGTTGCATCGATATGCATCACACTATTGCCAAAAAGTAATCTACAAGGCAGTACCTAATCTTTAGGATGAGTGATAACTATGTGTTTTCTTATAGAGGTCGTAAAATCTGAGGGAAGAATTCTTCATACTCATGTTTATCTACTATATATCCTTGTCCGCATTAACCCAGATACTCCTGCCCCATCATGAACTAGCATGAGCAGCGCGATATGACATATAGCTCGTTTTTCTCACGTTCAATTGTCAAATTAAGTGTTAAAAACCCTGATATAATGTAAATTGTTATGCATTTTGTCGTGTCTGGATTGTGATATTTTTTTTTACATAAGGTTTTAAAATCTGTCAAATAACATGAAAAAAATATTATTATTAGTATTTAAAAGATTAGACACATAGACTAAGTCGATAAAGCAGTTTATTATCAAATAACATGAATAAAAATTAATTTAAGTGCTTACATCTTTTGTAATATTTTTTTCTCAGCGTGTTGTTTTAAACGACGGTAGTATAAAATGTTAAATTTAGTTTTTGTGAATCCCACAGGAATCTGTTTTTTTTTTCAAATATAACCTAATGCAACTAAACTAAATGTAACGTAACTAAACAGAAGTAAATATAACAGAATAAGGTTTTATATCTGAGCGTCTATGTGTCGTGTTGTATGAACGCTTAGCTGTAATGTGAATTCATTCATTTATTGCCTATTTCATTCAATGCAACATTGTCTTTTCAGTGCACATTGAATCAATTCTATAATTTCAAAAACGGAACTGAAATATAAATACGTAAATAAATATTTTACTCCTCATTTGTATTAAATTATTATTTATTATTAGTATTCATTTGACATTGTGGGTTACCTACAATGCGAAGAAATGGCGCTGCCTTGCAGTTTAAGAATGGCTAGAAGAATTTCGACGCGGTCCGTGAGGGCCGCGGTAGCATAATTGGTCAGTGCATTCGCCCGGATTACGAAGGGTGCGGGTTCGAGTCCCCTCTGCTGCCTGGTCAGCGTGGAATTTTTTCTAGTTATATTTTCTTTAGATTTAAATATCAAGTAGTTACATGCTTAAAAAAATTAAAATTATAAATTATTATTTTCTAATAAGTATACCCTATAATAAACATCTGTCCGTTAAACGTTTGTAACGAAAATTAACCTTCTTCAACATAATTAAAAAAAACGCGAGGTGTCGACTGCCCGCCATTAAAAATACATCGCCATTGCATTTCGAAGACGTACTGTCTAACGTGTACACATGTGCTACCACAGACAGTAGACACAGTATATTCACGGCCGCCCACGCTGCGTTCCACTAATAATTTCACGTTGGCAACGAAACAACCAGCGCCGCGCCACAAAATACGATAGTTACAGAAGTCAATCTTATGTATGTACTTCTTACACTTTTCAAACCTGCGCTCCGCGGCGCGGGCACGCTAGTATTCCCAACCTTGGCTTATGCTCAAAAAACTATCGTGGTAGTAGTACCTAGTTGTTCGATTTATTATCGACAATGAAACAGTAAGAACGGAAATATAAACCAATAATAACTGAAATATTTAACTTTAAATGTTATTGTTAAATTACAAATAAAAAACGAAAATTAACGGTTGAATTTAAACAACCGTCCATTGAACAGTTTTTATAAGTTTTTGTTGATTCATTTTTACCCAAAAAATTCACAGACTGCCGATGACACTCTGGCTGGACTGGTCCCAAGCGGTCCGAGATGTCGTGTCCGTGAGTGGTGACTATGTGTGCGTTGCTCAAGCGCACTGTGTATGTAGATTGACTACTGTACCTATCTGTTTTGTGGCCGCGCCGCCTCGGCTTATTGTCGCGACCTCCGCGTCAATCTAAATAATTTATTTCCGAGTTCAAACGCATAGTTTTGGGTTAATTGTTGATGAGATTTTCCGTGACTAATTGCAATTGATTGAATCTATTTCAATTGTAATGATATCATAATATCTATCACCCGTACGCTATACGAGTGTCAAGTTATGAATAGTATATAAGGCGCTACAGATATGATAGAGATTGTTTTAATCATACATAGATAACGTATATATTTATGCTTCATTAAACATTAAAGAAAATAACATAACAATAAATTATGTCACTATTTGATTTATTAGACATTTAAATGTGACGAATAATAAAAATAAATTAGGAATTATATTTACAATTATTATTTTATGACAAACTAGGTAGAGATTGATGAACTTTTTAAACCAAATAATGCATTATAATAAACAATGAAAAATAACCAGCACTCGACGGGAACAAATATTTGAATTAAACAATTCACATAAATAAATGCCCTTTGCTAGAGAGCCCACCGCGTATCTGTATCTTAAGCACCGTGATCATGTTAGAAAGGTAAATATACTCGAATAATGGTACAATACTCACACATAATATTCGCAAACAGCTCGTCTGAGTAGCGGTGGGGGTCAGTGAACCCGCCAACCAGTTGCAGCTCCAGCCTTCCTTCAGGATATCCCACCGCCAGTTGCTGGACTCGAGCTACCATAGCAGCTGCCGCCTCTGCCATCCCCGAGCCATCGAGATGGGATAACGCGACCGCTCCAGACCCTACAACAAAACTATCATAAATTGATTGGACCCCCAACCTTATAAATAATTCTGTCCAACCTCAGCAATAATTGTGTCCGAAGAAAAAATAGCTTGTCATGGTACAAACTGTGGCGATATTAAATGCTGCTGAAATATCAGATTTCCGCAAACACTATTAAATAATAATGCTTTTAGCAAAGGTTTATTAAAAGGTTATGTTATTTCATAAAAAGCCATGAAATTTACTCCGCCATTTGCATCCCAAAATTAATGTTGTAGGGGAGCGGGGGGCACGTTGTTACAATTTTTAGATAGTTGTTAATATGACAAAAGCTATCAAATAAATTATACATTTGATTACTTGTAATGTTAGTATGTCTATTTAGCTATAAAAATATGACTGAAAAATTATAAAAAATTATGTAATTTTTTCACAATGGAGAATTTAACTAAACAAGTAGATTGTAACATCTTACCACGATATTGGGGCTAGTTGTTACATCATCAGGGCACGATGTTACGGCAAATAAATAAACAAAATCATCAGTGATACATATTTTTTATTAGTTTTTCAAAACGATATAAACAATAGAAATCACTTTATACAGTCTTCTAACATTTATGAGTAATTATAATATCTATTATGGTAATTATTTAAGCTTTTTTTTGTATTTTTTTTGCTCTCGATATACCCTTGATATTATTTATTTGAATCTTTAATTCTTAAAAATAAAAAATACCCTTTACAGCATTTACATAAAATTGATTACTGGTTAATTTGTTCAAAAGTCACGTCCAAAAGTTCGCCATTTTGTTTATATATTCTAGAAACTAAAAACTAAATTATTATGAATAACTTATTTTCCTTCTATGCACGAAAAGTTATGAATTTTTAAATAATTATTTATACGAGATGATTAAACACAGTTTTTACGGCATATGTAGAATAGGCACATGTAAATTTAATTATTTTGTTTAACATGTCTCTCAAAATGTGATACTCCTGAGCGTCGTGTCCCCGATCACTATGGGATTTGGGGCTCACTGCCTCCCCTCCCTTGCCCCGCAAACTCCGCACGATTGCTCTGTCTTGACGTGTTCGTTGGCCGACTGTAAAGACTGTGATGTTAGTTCATACTACGATATGTATCATGCGTATCGTATCTTCCTTTTTGTTTTAATATAAGGTGGACTGCAAGACTCACAAATCGAAGGCTCGTTCTTTGGACGCAAGCGACGCATTGATTTTTACTCGCTCTAGAATAAAAATATCGAGAAAACCGTATGTGAGTACGAACTTAGTCAACGGTTAGTGTAGTAAGGCTATAAGCTATAACCACAAACAAGACTACCAAAAGTAAATATTTTTCATTGCTTCTGTAAGGTGCAGGTTACTCCCCAGGTGGACGTTCTGACTCCACTAAAGAATCTGCTATGCCCTGCCTCTCTTTTAACCATCCGTTTACGCTTTAATACCGACCCGGTAGCGCGAGAAAAACATTGAATGCGCCAGCTGATTTTTTTCAGTGCAGATAGCAAAAGCGTATTAAAGACAGGGAAATTCGGACTAGGAACTTATCATCATCCTATTGTTGACATCATTTTTGACCTATAATGTCAAATGTGGCGTTCTTTAGGTGTGACTCTGGGAGCAATACTTACGATAGTATAATTTTTAATCTCAAACTGCACCTTTTAATGCTCAGCCATATTTGGCAGAAGTATTATGACGTCAAGTAAGTATGTTGTTATGATCCATTTAAAAGGTTTATGTTAAAAGATAATAGTTATTTATTGATCCAAAATATTTATGAGTGGCTCGATAGCGCAATGATAAGCGAGTTTGATATGTGCTTGCAGAGCTTGACTGAATTTTACTAAGGCCAGTATTTTTTTAAATAAATAGAAAAAAAACTCTTGGCCCGATCTCCTTAAAGGATAGGAAAGGACTGAGACCTAGCAGTGAGGGATTCAATTAGGATAACAATAAAAAATTAACGACAGGGAATGTTCTAAAACTTTTGTAAGACCGAAACCAATCACTATAGTTTGCAGGAAACTTTTTTGACCTAAACTATCACAAATGTGGCGACGCGTCGTTGAGGTGTGGGTATTAACATACCATCGTTACTAACGTAATGATAGTAAAATGTTTACTCTCAGACTGCACCTTTAATGCTCAGCTAAATTCAGCAGTGGTATATAGCGTCAAGTCAGACTTGGCGCGATCTTCTCATTCTTTCCATATAGGTGGCCTGTTTCCCTTAGGCCGTTTTCGAAACCCGTTTCGAGAGAAGAATTTTAATTATTCTTTCGAAACTGGTTTCGAAAAAGGAAAAATATTTGTGCTTTCGAAACCGGCACAAAAATCCATTTGTTTTTGAAAAGAAAAAAAATCTGACAATAACGGCGGCGTAACGTTCCATTGGCATCTTAATAATTGAACATTATAAGGGAACATAAATATATACTACGTGACCCTATTTTAAAAAAAATACCCATAGTATATGTCAAGACCCCGAGCCTCCCCTTCTAGTTTTCACGTAGTATTTCATAAACATAGTTTTAAATAAAATTTTCCACATAGAAAGTAAAGAAACACTATTAAAAATGGCCCATATTAGTCTTTATTTAAATAACTAAAAATCATAAAGTAACGAAGTAAAAAGAAAACTTTTTAAAGAAACTTTTACTAGAAAAAAACACGCGGACCAGGCATCAGACGGGACTCGAACCCGCACCCTTCGCTATCCGGGCGAATGCTACCGCGGCCCTGATGGCCATGTCGAATTTTCTCTAGCCTTTCTGAGACTGCAAGGCTGCGCCATCTCTTCGCATTGTAGGTAACCCACAATGCCAAAAAATGTAAAAAAGGTATTCTTGATCTATTATCACGGCACGTGATTGAAAACGGACCTTGTAACGTTTTCAAAAAATTCAAAATAGCCTATTCGAATAATAATGCAATAATTATTGGTAAAGTACTCTCCAAGAGTAAATTAAGTAAGGTATATTAATAAAAGCAAGGTGCCAAGGCTCCACAGGGTAGGGGATGGGGTCAGAGTAAGCAACAGCGCAAGTGAAATGATAGTAGAATGGCGTAAGCGTCTATATCCATCCTATGGTGGGAACTAACCATCAGCCTTGCAAGCTTATAGCTTGTATACCTCCCATTTTATATGATATTCTGATTTATGAATCAAGCAGATTGGTGCTTAAAATAAAAATATAATAAGATTGTGTCATTAATCGCGAAATTTCGATGCAAGAATTATTACTTAATATTTTTTCGAAACTATTTTCGAAAGCAGAAATATTTTTAAATCTAAAGAAAAGTTTACTAGAAAAAAAAATTCTTTAGATTTAAACATCTAGTAGTTAAATGCTTAAAAAAATAAATAAATCATAACAGAAATATTTTTTTTTCGAAAACAGTTTCGAAAGAGATAAAGCTCTTTTTTTTAAACTAGTTTCGAAAATTATCGAAGGGGACCCAGCAGTGGGGACTTTAAGTAGGATAACATTTAAAATATTATTATATTTATATTTACCTGAATGTCTGACAACTACAATAATACATGATGTCGCGTCATCTGAACCAATGATGCTCACGTTTTCTGAAATAAGAGAGAAATATAGCTTTAGTATAAAGACTTCATCTTATAGACAAAATCACAACTGAACACGAACGATCTTTTTAAGAGACATCAGCTATACGCAATGCTCTGCTGCTCCGTGACCTTGCTTCTTGTTATGGTTGATGCTAAAACCTCATGGTTGGTAAAAAGTATGGAGTTTAAGAAGCATCTCTGTTACCCTACGTTCTATATTAAAGAAAAAACTTAGAAAATTCTTGAACCCTACCAGAGGTAAGTGAGTCATGCGAGTGGTTGTCCACATTGCTTACGAGGGTAATACAACTGTATATATTCCAGTATTTATATATTTATTCACAAGAAACATGATGGAAACTGTAAGGCTCAACTCACACTGGCGCAGAGTGGAAGCGACGCGTCGTTTTCCGTCTGTAGAAAATTCATCTCTATTATTCCCCTATTATGGTATTCCCGCTTATTCGACGCGCGTCGACGCGACTCCATAATACCAGGTTTCATGTTTGCTGTATGTGGTAAATTCGTTTTATTTTTCAACTGTTAAGATATTCCATGAAGCGTCGCGTCGTTTCAATCCTGCACCAGTGTGAGTTGAGCCTAAGACAGAGGAGTTTCCAAAATCCAAACACGCCATCTCATTTCTTTTCTGTATTAAATACTTATTGTACTCAATGCAGCACTACAACGGCCAACATCCGCTGAATCACGCACTTACGGCAGCTATAAAATTACGCTCCTGTAGCCAGGGTGGCTGGCCAGGAGCGAGGACTTCGGATACTCGCCTTCAGCACATCGATTGTTCTGATGCGAGACGGCCCTATAAGTGTACTTATTGTCGTGCGGCACCACGGCGGCCAACTCTCACGTACGTACAGCAGCTCTTACGGCGGTACGACGCGAGCCACCGCGGCCAGCAGTTGCGCGGCAGCGTCTCTGTAGCTGGGGTGGCTGGCCAGGAGCGAGTGAGGACATCGGAAACTTGTCTTCAACTCACTGAGAGAGGTCAACAGCTGTACTTACTGTCGTGCGGCACCACAGCGGCCAATTCTCGCTGGCCCACGTACAGTAGCCCTTGCGGCGGTACAACGCGTGCCGCCGCGGCCAGCAGTTGCGCGGCTGCGTCTCTGTAGCCGGGGTGGCTGGCTAGAAGCGCGCGCACGGACGTCGGACACTCGTCCGCAAGCACGCCGTTCAGCACCACCACCATGCTAACACTGCGACAAAAAATTAAAGGCAATGTTTATTACTATTCATCATGGCATAACCCTTGTTGAGTGACAAAACATTAACGTAAGTATAATAGGTAACGCGAGAAATAATTTCTAATAATTTCCGTTAAATCAAACAATTAGCATAACGAAAACACCAATCATCTTCATCAACTTATTAATGTCCTCACTGGTGTAGCACAGGCCTTCCTTATTCTAGATTACTGCAGATGTAGCTGGCACCAAAGGACGGAGGATCTTTAGCATTTTGGTCATCATTCGTATGACCGCCCATTGCAAAAGCATCTTACTTGACAAGAAAAGACCCAAACTAGGCTAGAAAAATGGCGGCTGAGATAAATGTTGGAATAGGTTGTGGGAAGCATATGTAAGTAATAACTATTTATAAATCCATGATTTATGTATTATTCTTATCACTAAAATATTTCTTTACTTCAAACTCAATTGAAGATTGAATTTGTATGACAATTAGAAAAAATTAAAAAAATATCTCACGCTACTTTTGAAGTACGTAGAGTGTAATTATTAAAAAAGAATTAAATAATATTCAATTTGACAACACTTAGACTGTACCTTCAAGGGGCCACACATTTCAGTTAGGCTACCTAAAGACGATATTATTGAGCGGCGCGTTACTATATCATAAAATGCAGTTTTATGTTTATTGCTCAAGTGTATTACAATAGTAATGTATTCAGAGTGCACCGGGGTCAAATGAGAGTCGCACACATTTTACGCGACGGAATCGCGAACAGATACTACCCATTTCAGGAACACGCGAAAAGTTATTAAAAGAAGAACAGTTACTTAAGTTACCACAGAAAACTGTTATTAGACGGCACCAAAAGCAAGTTCAATTCTAATTGTAACGGCTGCCCTCAGAAATATATGTCACGTGAAGGGCATGCATTATTCGTTTGAAAAAGGTATTCGGATATTTCGAATTCGAAAATAAAAATATTGGAACAATATGAATCTTTCGAATACTTACGGCTTTATTCAATGTAACTATGTTAACATTTTAGAACGCATAAACTTTTATTGGGAACCATTTTGTGCTCAATAAAATCATCTAATCCTAAAAGTTTGAAAAACGGCCGCAAATCACTGAGAACGTCTAACGTGTCGTCATTGACTAAACATGTCAAATGATTACAAAAACTCTATTAACTGAAAATACACGTTCAGCTTCAAAGCTTGTAGGGGGAATTGTTAATAAAATATCATAAATACGCTACATGTGAATGCTTTTCGGACCACCTCGATCGCATAGCGCCATTTCCACCCTGACAGACGTTTCCAAGTCATTGTTTTCGAACAAATGTTTGTTGGAACATCAGCAGCACCATACAAATAAATATTCATTTACTTTTGTTTTTAATTGTTCCTTGAATGTCTTGGCTGCCTGTTGCTCTTCATTTTCAAGGCGCTGTCATTGTCTTTCTCTCAAAGGCTGGTCTCATCTACAGCTTCAAAATTTTAATGATTGCTATTAAAATCAGGCAGCATGATGTATTCGGAAAGCTAGTGGACCCGATGACTTCTTAGCAGTTGTACTAAAATTGTGTGTCGATACTTTGGATAAGTTGCAGCGGCGCAGGACCTGAATTATTGGCTATGTAGAGGTTATAACCTTGAGTCCTCTACAATCACGCATCATTGGCATCATAAGGCGACATTCTATCGACTATACCAATGCGCGTATTTAGAAGTTATTCTCCCAGCTTATCCCACCTTCCCCTTTCTTTCAAGGGGACTCATTTCTTTGTCATACGATTCGCAAAAGGAATTCTTTTCCCTCGCATGTGTTCTCCCCTTCCTACAATCTGGACTCCGTTAAAAGAGGCGTGAAGAAGCATTTGCACAGGACGACAAGGTTGGTGTGGAAGGTTTCAACTGCTGCACCAGCTATCTTCGTGTCTGGACTTTACCACCTCTTAACATCAGATGGGGTAGTCATTTGTCTACCTAATAATAAAAAAACAGTTCTGTCTTCGCAGAAAAACATCTTATTGATTTTTACTATTTCTCGGCTACAGTACCTAGTTTAACTTATTTATTCATGAAAATAATATTTACAAAGAACGACAAGTTACGAAATGTAAGTGCGTATGCTATTACGGACCACGCATACATACACACTTTTATGCGGCTTTGGCAACGTAATGAGCACGTAAAAGCGAATACATGTATATTCTAAACACTACTTTGTAAGTTTCTGTTCGGATATTTTTACCTAGGAAGTATTTGAAATGTAATGTAACCTAATAGTACACCAAGTAGAAAAAAGTGGAGTGGTTTTATGAAACCGCGATAAGAGTGCAACTTTTTAAATCATTAATAAAAAAAACCTTCCTTGACTGAGATTCGAACTCAAGCTGCCCGCGTAGCAAACGAGCTTTCTGCTACAACGCATTTTGATGAAGTTTGATGATTTAATAACAATAAAAATATGCGATATGCTAAATCAACGAAAAAAATTAAAGCGATGTAAGTAATAAAAGTTTTTAAAAACATAAGCAATGGCAAACTTACTGTGGTACTTTAACGAGAAAGATACATGACATGAGAAAGATCAATGAATTAGTATATGGCATTCTTGATATAATTAACAGTCACAAACACAATAAACAAAATTTATTACGTGTGTTATTATAACAAACTATATAGCCACAACTAAACTAAGGCAAGTTGTAAGAACACAGAAATCTTATAGATAAAACATTAATGGCGATCGTCTGATAACACGACTAAACTTCGAAGAAATCAAACGCAAACAATGATCCAACATAGACATTTGTTAAATCACAACAATACTTCACTAGCATCATTCACTACGATGATGAGGAAAAACGTAAATACCTTCGTGGTGACAATTGTAGAATCCTTAGATTACAGTGCACTTAATGCATACATAACCCCAATATTAATTATTACCAGAGCTCGATTATATACAGAAAATGTATAAAGTAAAAAAACACATTCGATAGAAAAGCAATAATAAAATAAGAAATTAAGATACCTACCAAAATATTATGTGAGGTGCTGGACGAAGTATTATAAAAAATAACGTACTACCTAGTAGCCGGCTAAATTTCCTTTTTTTTTTTTAATTTATTTGTAGAACCACTAACAAGTTTACAATCATATTTGCTTATACATATAATCTAAAGAGTTATTGGTTATTGCAAACCCAACATTGATGGTTTCATTTTCATTTTACATTGTTTTTCATTACAGTGATTGTGATATTTAACATAATATGTTTTACATTTATAGTTTATGCATAAATTAAGTGACTTATTTTATTAATGGTTAATGGATAGGCTTTGCTTTTCAGAGTTATTATTAAAAAGGAATTGTTAACGGTTATAGCATGTTAGTATATATTTTAAATTATATAATAATCCTTTGGTAATAAAATAAAATATGTAGCAGTTATCTTTCTAATTAGAACGTCTTCACCTTACAGAAAGAACATTTGCTATTCCTGTAAACCTCACAAAACTCTGAAATTAAATTATATAAAATAGGTTAATCCTAATCCTTGAATGATATCCTTATGAACATGTATCTGTGGCACGATTTAAGTCATAGTCATCCGTAAGTTACGTATGTATATTATAGATCATACGTTTGAAATATCTTTAATAAATCTTGTGATGAAAATAAAATGAATAACAATATGGGCACGGACATCAAATTCGTTAGTGTTCAATATTATGAGAAATCTATAACGTTAATTTAATTACAAATAATTTGTTATACATATGTATGACCAAAATATTTCACTAAATGCTACAGCGCACCCCTCTCTTTAACTCAATATACCTACTCGTATATGTTTATACAGATCCACGCACTGCTCAATAGGCAATATATCACTGCGCGAGTCATTACAGAATCCGTAAGTTAAAGACGATAACTTCTTATTGGAAATTTTAATTGCCAACGGTGGCGAAACGTGTTCGCCGCTGTGTAAAAACATGATAATTAAACTTTACTATGAGCATATTTCACTTTAATAACGTCGCAAGTCGCTGATGGATGATTAGTAATTTGTTATTTTAGGTTATAACTATTACCACACAAGACATATCAGATAAATGGAAAAAATAATCAATTAGTTAGTAATAACTGAAATAGAATTTCAATACAAGCTAATTTAAAGTAAGATATCGATTTGGAGGCAAAAGGCAATGGACATCTAAAAAAGGTGAACTAAAACAGAAAGTCGTAGACACACAGTCATAAATAAGCAAAAGCAAAGATAATAAGATTATACGTTTTTTAATGAAGTACATATATTGAAATTAAATACAAAATTTACATAAATGTACTACGTATGTTTTAAGACTAGAACACGACCAAAAAGGAAATTATTTTATATATAATTCTAGTTATGGGTGAACTTTAACAAGAACTTTCTCTCATGTATATTTATCAAAACCAAAAACTTTTTTCCGTAGTCAATATTAATCTACATAGCAACTACAGTTAATAAAAAATAGGATCCGATAATGAAAGCGAAAATGCTAAAATACCATGTAAGCTTTCACTGTGAATCGAGCTTTTAGTTGATCAGATCAAAAAAACTTTTACACAACTTACTTAACAGCAGCGTCCTTGGACAAACGAGATATGATTAATGGTAGTTTCGGTTACCTGCTAAGAAATTGAGACACAACGTAACCGTCCATTTGAATGGAAAAAATCCCTATTCGTAAAAATGTGGTGTGCTCTCTAAAGCAATACGTACGGACACGAATAAAACTAACATAGACTGGTAACAATAGCATAATTATGTAGCCCAAGAATAAATTACTTGCACCATCAATCACAAATAACGTTTAAGAATACACCTATTGGTACAATATCAAAAAAGAAGTAATAGAACTCCCTATTGATATAACAAATTGAGTCCAACTTAATAACGTTGATAGAATGTTGAGTCATACTTCAAGTATGGTACCAGATAAGCTTATAAAAAGTTTTTTATACACATTATATAAACGCAAACTACAAATTTGTTTTATACATACATTACACCTAATATAATTACCTTTATCAACAAGAATGCTTAACACATACACAACACCCAATGTATTAATAACACGAAAAATTTACACAACGGGAAACACTTAGCACTATCAACAAATAACCTTGAAGTTCTGGAACGAAATATTCCAATTTTAATTTTTATAGGAGGGGAAATATGATGTGTTGTAGGTATTGCACGTGAAATCAGACTGTGGACGGGTTATCGAGTCCCGTCATGAGCGCCTCGAGTGCCGCAAGTTACTAGCTTGTTATTGTTATGATAATGCTTATTATGTTGGAAATAGTGGCCCGATAGTGGTCGTATCGTGCAAAGAGCAATTAAGAAGTATACCATCGCATTATCTGGAAGTTTAATTACAAACACCACTTCGCAAATGTTGCCCAACCAGCACCAATTAATAACTGGTTTTGTATTACTTCAGACTATTTGCCGTTTTTGAGACACTCATCGCGGTAATAATCTCTTATCTATTAGACAAGTCCGTCCGTCCGTCCGTCCGTCCGTGGTGCTGTCTCAGCGGCCAAACCGTAAGAGATAGATATAGAGAATGTTTAAGTTATAAGTTAAGAATAGTCTGATAAGACTACAAACCGGATGTGAGTAACGTAGCACTTCCGGTTTTCGAGAAATCACGTGATTTCTATTTCAAACGAAACCACACAAAATCTCCGAAGTTCTCAATTAGTTAAATACATTTTTTTTTTGGTGAATATTTGGTTCACTGGTTTGCTAGTAATAATATAACCTTTATATTTTCCAAGACTTCGCCAGGTTTCAAACCTTATACTTCAAAAGAAATCAATGTGCATATATCCTTGAATGCCAAAACGTTATGCCCATTTGCTTCTTTATAATATATAACTCGATTAATATCCTTCCTCTACAGGTCTTTAATTATAAACTGCAAAAAGTCAAATGAGCGCCTGGCTTTTTCATACATATTTCGCTACATGATAGGCAAGATTTTGAAGTGTAAGAAAGAATAAAAATGTTTCATAAAGTAATGATACTGCTTTATGAAGTCCTATTGAAAAATCAAATCACTAAACCCCTGTTTGTCAGTAACGTTCAAGTGTCAAACGCATTAAAACAAATCTCCTAATTAATGTTACAAGTTTATGCGCTCCAATCGACAAATCGTGTAGCTCAGAAGTCGGTTGTTAATCCATCGTCGGCGCATCAAAGAATACTCGGCGGTAATTGGGCTTAATTGACGAACGCGTGCGCAGCCCTTCAGCTTGAAATGAATTTATATGTATATAATACAAGATTTGAAGTGTTTCTTGGGCAAATCTTCTCTTTCTGCGGTAGCTGTGAAACTTTCCAAAATTGCAATATAAAAATAATGAATTTGTGGACTAACCTAACCTAATGTTAGAATCAAAGATATTAACAATCCGCTTTACTGCAGACCCTGTCCAAAAGTTTGAGTTATTTTTTAAAATCACTTACATTTATCTCAATCATTTATTGTTGAGAAACCAATTCTTTTATGGAAGAAAAAATTGCTATAAAGCTATAAAAGAATCCATGTTCCATCCATGAGATTTAATGAAAGTTCAATCCTACCTAACACTCTAATTGGCTCTATTACAACACATATCAGTTTGGTTTACACACTTGTAATACTAATTAGATATAGGTGCAATATCTTCCATTTATTATTTAAAAAGTTTACTGTTCAGCTGCACTGTCTGATAATAATTAATGTAAAATTGTATCAACTTTCATAAATCTTATCATAAGTCTTCGATAAATTCTAAATTACTGATCTAGATTGAATTGAAGCCTATTTGACTAGGAATAGTACGAAATTAATGATCTCCTATGAAAACATAAGGATATTTGGTGGAGCATAGTGGCAATGAGCCAGAAACCCAGTCTATTGCGGGGCGGGGCATATAGAACTGTCCAGCGACTTATTAACGACGGCCGGACAATGATGCTAATGCTATTAAGTGGTCGGGCAAGCAATCAGCGGAGTTTAAATGCCTGCACCTTGTATTTTATTGGCTGCGCATTCGCCGACCTACTCGGTATTGCAGTCCGTTATGAGACCAAGAGTTGGCTCTGTTTATGGTTTTGAATTCATTAGGAAATTAATAAGGGTCGGACGATGCTTCTGCAGATTCTGTTGCACAACAAACCATAAACACACGCGTCTTGTTTTATTGGCGGTAAAATTGTTTCGAAATTTGTATTCTAGATAAATTTTATCTACCTATGATAGTTTTATGGCGTCGTTAAATCTCATGATTTACGAAAAGATACTCCTTGTTGTTGTAATTGTAAGATGACGAATTTAATTATAGCGGGTTATTTTAGTCGATGATAATTTTATACAAAATCGAATAATTTTATTATCTTATTTGTGAAAATTGCACTAAAAAACAGTAGGATATAAATATAAATTATACTTAATTATAAAAAAGCCATTCCATGTGTTAAATCGGTCCCACTATCGATAATTTCGATAAATTTGTAGTTCTCAAAGATTGAAAGTTTCAACAATCGTCAGATACTCTAACATGAACCCAGTCAAAACATGACTTGCATTAAATTAAGTAGATAGCTTTAATATGGAGCACATCTGGTCTGGCGCATGCAGAAAATTTTAACATCAAATCTCCGCGTTGAGTCCTGTTAGTTTCTCTCAAGTTCCGGTTCCCACGGCGTATTAATGACTAGGCAAAAGTTTAGCGCAGGTTTCGTTCCTTTTATGCACGGTCGCCCATTACGCGGCTCATTTGCGGTAAAAGACAAACGGCCGATCGGAGGCGAGCACAAATTTCGCCGATATAATCATCCGGTAAGACAATGGTTATCGGTTGGGGCGCGATACCGGGACCGATAGCGTCCCGGGCTGATGGATGCGGCACGCTCGCTCGATACCATCTCCATCGTGACGCTTGCCGTCCGGCCACCACTCGTGTGCACCAATTATTATTCAATATCTCGGTGTCCTGCGCCCCACGGCTATAGATGACTGATATCATTATTGGGGTTAACGTTTCATTCCGATCGCGCCGGGCCCGGTCAAGTGACAATCGCTCACGAGCTGTTCTAATTGAATAAAGAATCGATGGTGGGTAGCATAACCGACTAACAGATGTGGCATTCGATTCATAATGCTGTAATAGTCATCTGATAAAATCCATCCATGATGTGAATCTTTCATTACGTAGGCCGTGGCTTGGCTGTATCGGTTGACGCGCGTCCGCAATGTTATCAAAATTTCATAACGGCCAACAAATCAAGTTTAATAAAGTACCTAACCTATACAACTTGATTTATCAATATTCTAATAATTTGAATAGAGTGATAAGCTGCCACTCAAACCTAATCTTATACATAAGGTCGGAAAGCTAAACAAGATATTCTTTATAAAGTTTGATCACCATTAATAAAATAAGTAAATAAATTAAATCAGTGGTAGCAACTAAAGCCCTTCCAGCATTTAACAGTATGATGATTATTTAGTTTAAAAGAGTTTTTTATTTATAAACATGCGTAATTCAATAAGACTAAACAATGCATTAAAATAATTCTCATTATTTATAATAATAAATTTAAAAAATCTTGAAAGATACAATCTCTGATCAGCTTTTGTAAAATGAGAAAATTAACTGGATGACCTCGCACGAGGAAGTAAGTAGAAATAATAGCCCGACTATAACAATAGAGTATAATCTCGTAAAAGTCTATAATTACATTGTCAACTTACATTTAATAGGTGGAGCTGTCGATGTCAAGATCATTCAGGTCGCTGAGCCACCTGTAACAAAACAATAAGGACATGTAATTGATGCTATTTTAATGAATACGCAACGTGTTGTCAGGAGGTAAGTTGGTATTTGAAGAATCGAACAGAAGCTCGTCGATGTACACGTTCCGCGGATGCCATCACCGACACAGATGTGAAGATTATACATCTAATACTATCGCGATGTGGAATCTCGCACGATCCAGACGACATACCTGCGACCGTCGTCGGTGCTTCGACGCACGACGAAAATTAAAATAACGCTGCACTGAATTATGAGGCATGCCGTGCCCCCGGTCCGCGTACAATTCGAGAACAGCGGTAATGCTAATTCAATAGCGTAATATCTTCGTATCTCGACGTAGTCCCCCGCGGTCGATCCGACCGAGATAGTCTACGATTGCGCCGATATGGTTTTCTTCGTGATTTATTTTGGCCTCTCCCATATAAGTACTGTGTACGGCAACAATGGACCGCGAGTAGGATTTACGACAGTCGATTTGGTAAAGATAAAAGATTTAACTGCGTTCAGGAAAGGGTTGGATGGTGTACAGTCTATGCATTTAGCGCAAGTGAGAACACGGGTCTACCCCGGCAAGTCGGAATAAATAAATTGGGAAATGTTTGCAGCTTGCTCTATAAGGTGAAAGCTGGCGCCATGGGCTGTTGTAGCAAAGTTACCGTTTTATCAATGTTGTCGAGAATTCGAGAGAATCTGTCCAGAATTAAACCTAAATGTTCAGAGGTCTTCTAAACCACGGAGTAACGTTTACGCAAATTATTAAAAACCAATTTTGTCAACACCTAACTTTGAAGATTAATGTAATAAGTAACGGACGTTAATATAAAATTTAGGAAACGATACTGTTTGGTGAACTCAATTTAATGATCTAAAGTGCCTTTTAGACAAAACACTAAGATCATACATCTAGTCACTAGTGTTCCGTTATAAATACTTAAATGATAATACTGCTCGGGCACCATCAACAACAACGAAACGAGCAGTGGTAACGAATAAAGCATCAGGCAATTAGCTACCAATTTATCTGTCAGATTCGTTACGGACAGGGTAATTATCGAAAATAGAACTACATTTTTTACTGCAAACTGGTTATCAGTTTTATTAAAATACAACACCATGTAACGTAACTATCAAAATTTAGAAATGCTGACTTGCACCTGTCTACGATTGCTAATGTGAAATATGGTAAACATTTATAAATCTTGCTAATTATTGCGTACGAAATAAGAATGTTTTTTACTTATGTCCATTGTCGACGCAAACTCTACAAAATAGAATTTGCAATTTTCATATCAATGAGACTATGCTCTATACTAGACTAGTAATAAAACTAATCTTCCCACACTGCTGAGAGTAAAAATCTTTCAACAGGTAGGTTAACCTGTCACTATTGTTTTCGGACATTGCATGTACATAGGGGCAACCGATGCTAAAAGTGGCATCGTAAACTTATAAGTAGGTCCCTATTGATTGATGTTCATCATGCCTCATGCTTCATGTTATGCTATTATGCTCCTTAAGATTCTTGCTGCGAAACAAAGCAGAAGAGAGATCTATTTCTAAAATTGTAAGCGGGAAACTCAATTTAGAGTTATTGCTTATAAACAATACAAATATCGTAATAGCATACAATAACGAACGCATTTTTATATTATATTACATGTTAAAATCACACAAACTCCATGCTCCCCACATTTCTATGACAAAGGACAGAGAAAATAAAGGAAACTCAATTTAGAGTCATTGCTTATAAACAATACAAATATCGTAATAACATACAACAACGAACGCATTTTTATATTATATTAGATGTTAAAAACACACATAAACTCCATGCTCCCCACATTTCTATGACAAAGGACAGAGAAAGTAGTTCCCACATAATTTTAGAGATGTGCGCTGCACCAAATCAGTTGCTGCATCGGATCTGTGCAAGAGTTTATCTGATGTCGCAGCGCATTAACACAGATTAGACTAATTGTAGAAACGCGCGAAAGTGGTGGTTCGAGTCATCTTCAAGTAACTGGTGTAAGAAATCTCGATTAGGTGCTATCTATTTATGATTGTCAGCACTATTCACTGACACTGAAGCCGAAAAGTGTGGCTTCAAGGATATATAATGAACATTGCTGGCTACATCATCATCTTCACTTTTAGACAATTACTTTATTTCAGTGTACTATACTTTTTACTACTTTTACTAAAACTTCTTTTTCCAGTAATTTTAAATTTTTGTGTGGACCATATCCTCTCCTATGATAGCAGGATTATGACTATTTCACATATTTGGGATAATCACCAATCCGGCATCTATCCCCACATTTGCACACCATTTCGTGTGGTGCGTGTCATTTACCAGGGCGTCCACCTTAATCATGACAATTCCAATTGTTTACTTATTTTGTAAGCTTTTTAAAATAGGAAGTCATTTAAAGTATGATTAAAAACAAAATTTCGTTCATGTGCGAAAATTCCTAAAACCTATTCCCAAACCTCTACAAGAGTTTTATCCTAAAAGTTACATCCGTGTTAATGCCATTGCCCACAAATCAATTTGCAGTAGGTAAGTGTTCGCACGCGAGATGACCATGTTGTGATAGCGGCCACAGAGAGCGGATGAGTCACAATCACCGCTAGCGCACTATCACTATCGTTGACATCGCAGCTTTATACGCGATCATGCGGTTAAATCATCCAATTAATTACACATTGTCAAATAAATCTTGCCTACGACCGGTTAAGCTTTAGGGTTAACGATCGTAGAAAAGCTTTCGATAAACCATAACCAACCAATTCTGTAAATTGTTGGAAAGAATTCCTAGAAAAGATTAACACTAGTGGTATCATAGATGAATACAGCTTTGAAATATTTTTGAGCTTTTATTAGGCAGAATGATTCCAAAATATATTTAGGGTTTGTGTGAAACTGTTGCAACCTCCAAAAAAATGTTGGATTGATAGCGGAACAAAAACTCAAATGAAATCACAAAAATCAAAAACACCCTTCGGATAGCGGAGGGTGCGGTTTGAGTCCCGTCTGCTGCCTTGACGCATGGCATTATTTCGAACAAACATCTAGAAGTTAAATGCTTAAAATAAATATAATAAACTATGAAATGATCAGCTAACGTTCAGCACATTTAGAACGATATATCGCAGGATACTTTCCAAAACTAAAAATATAATACAACACAAATCTTCCTTATATCGAACCAATAACCAAGTTATGCCGAAGATACACATATGAGAAAAGATCTATACTTTTAAATAAATTGTACTTTATAGCTTTACCTAATATGTTCATACCCAAAGATTTAAATCTTTGCTCATAATATACATAGTTGATTTACGCCGGCTGTCACTAAATGGTTATTGGTTACAATGTGCAAATTTATAAAGTGAAAGGATAAGAAGAAGCTCCTCACCGTAATCTCGCTTGCAAGACAGGGCCGGCTTAAGGCGTTGTGTGTAGCGATAGTTTAGGCATTTGAGGGGGTGAAGCAGGGGAAGTGAGTGACGGGTACTGTCAGTCGCCCCGCGCAAACCCCGTTGACGTTCACACCTTTAAGGCTGTTTTATACTGAGGAAGGCCCGTAAAATATTGTCGAATAATATGTAAAATAAACCAACCCAAAATGTAATGTATGTACACATTACATTTTGGGTTGGTTTATTTTACATGTCATCACACAAAATAATAAAACGTCAACATTTATTTTTCAATGTTATTCAAAACTACATGAAGCTGAAATTAGCAGACATTGTAGCAGATACATCCAGAAGCGGGACGGGTTTTTATGGTTCCTTACCTCAAAAGGAAAAAAGGGAACCTTTATATAATCACTTTATTGTCCGTTTGTTTGTCGGTCCGTCTTTCCATCTGTCCGTCTGTCTGTCAAGACCCTTTATCTCGGGAACGCGTGGAGGTATCGAGATGAAATTTAAACCATATACGTAGGCCTACGGTAATTTGAAGCTGTGAAAAAACAAAACTCCTAAGTTAACGTAAAAAAAGGATAAGGCCGTTTATCTGTCTGTCTGACTAGACCCATTATCTAAAGAACAAGTGAAGATATCGAAATTTAAACCAAACACTTAAGACTGCGGTCCCTTCAAGCTGTGAAAAAAAACAAACTTTTAAATCAAGGTAAAAAAGAGATATATCTATCTACAAATTTATATGGAACCCTCAGTGGGCGAGCCCGACTCGCACTTGTCCGGTTTTTTCTTATTTATTTAAAAGTAAAGTAATCCATTTGTTTTCGCAAGGGTACCTAATGCTATTTTCAAGTATAACTAAGGTGAAATTTACGTAAAAAGCGATTTTTTACGTGAAAACATGTTCTTGCCTTTGAAACGTATTTCTGGACATTATTTTGGTTTTTATTATTTATTTAAAAGTTAAGGAAAGTAATCAAGTTTTTACAATAGTACCTGAATAGGATTTGTTTTAGCGGATCCACACCAGACAGTTATGCAGTAATTCAAAATAGATTGACAAAAAGCCTGATTAACCATTTTCATAACACCTGCGTCAGCTGATTGGCGGAGTAACTTAAATAAATGTTTAAACTGTTGGAAATTAAGGTTGCAAAGAAGCAGAATACCTAAATATGTAATAGATTTTACTGCCTCTAAATACACATTACTTTGAGGAGATTGAAGACTATCTAGAGATGAATTAGCGGCTATTTTATATGTGTCAATGATAGATACTGTAGGGCCAAGAATACAAAAGTTAAGTTATTTAGTTCCTGTTAAGTTTTAACATATTGTTATTAAGCCTTTGCTTAACTTTTCCTAAAAGTCCTTACAGTATCGGACCCTCTCTGTGCAAATAGGTAGGTCACAGACCAAGTACTCGAAGAAAACACAAGTGCAGTATCGTCGGCTTAAGAAAAAATTACATCGCTTCTAGACTAATATTCCACAAGACATTTATGTACATGAAAAATAAATTTGGTCCGAGAATACTACCCTAGGGCACACC